CCACATTAATGGCAGATGTATCATCATATCATGTGATTACCACAACAAACAGGTCTTAAATCTGGGAGCAATTTCAGATACCCCACAGCTGTACAGTCAATTATGAAACATGAAAGCCTGATGCAAATAATTAGTCTGCAAACCATAAACCTTTGACAAGCTAAACACGTACAGGGTTTCCCAAATTCCCAAAAAACACATTCAGTTTAAATACCAACACAACCGGACACAAGATCAAATGTATTTTGATGGTAAAGAATACTGCCTTGACCGATGATTGCAATAACATAACATGACACCACATCAAAATGTATTTGGATGGTGGAGATTTCACGATACATCAATCAATTACCATACACTACTTGGAAGTGAGTCTCAGAAGCACATCTCATACACCTTAGAGTGAGTGAGTATGCTTTTAAGCCACTTTTAGCAATATTCCAGCAATATCACGGCGAAGGACACCGAAATTGGGTTTCACACATTGTACCCATGTAGGGAATCGAAACCCAGGTCTTCAGCGCGACAAGCGCATGCTTTAACCATTAGTCTATTTCACCACCTTAGACTATACTTAGTTTCTGACAATATAGATGGAGATATGAAGCTACACACGTAAACTTGATACCCAAGGCTACAGTTGATTGGTTTGTTGTTTAACACTGCACTCAGCAATATTCCAGCTATATGGCAGCAGTCTGTAAATAATCAAGTCTGGTCTAGATGATCCAGTGATCAACAGCATGAGCATCGATTGCCACATTGGGATACGATGACGCGTGTCAGATAAGTCAGCAAGCCTGACAACCTGATCCCGTTAGTCACCTCTTACAACAAGCATGGGTTGCAGAAGACCAATTCTAACACGGATCTTCCTGTGTCCAAAGGCTACAGGAGTACAGGATTGTATATTACAACCAATGTTAAAATAATGCAGTTTAACCTGACTAAGGCACATGGGTGAAACAATAGAGCAGGGCCAACATGATATGTATCACGATACACAGGTCATGATACCATACATATCATGGTACACATATTTTTGTCAAATGGTACGGAAAATTCTTGACTATAAATATTTCAGAGCAGGTTCAAAAGGAAAGGTTGTGGAAATATTACAACACTAATTACAACAATTGTTTCAATATTTGACTGCTAAAGGGTCATTGAAAGAGTAGCAAGTAACCTATCTTGCAAGTATCTGGTATATATACAGAAAATCCATAGCATGTATGGGACTGTCTGGTTACAGACCACTACTATATAGCTGGATATTGCTGAGTGTGGCGATAAATAAATAAACAGTTTTGGGGAGTCATTTTCTAAATTCGTGAGTCATGAAAATATTCTGCCAATAAAATAATTCCACTACTTAGTGGTAATGTCTTGCTATAACATGACAGAACTATTAATAATTGCAGTTTACGGTGAGAACACTTAAACTGCTTATTGTATTTGGAGGAGTTATTTGAATTCACAGCACTTTTATCTAAAAAATATTGTGGCAGCTAAGAGTCAGACTCTTATGAAAATATTTTGGAGTATTTTACAATATTGTGGAGTTAAATATGCAGGAATTACAATTTACACTTCAAACCCCATGGTTTGATCACAAGCAATGACTAAACAGGATAAGTACAACCTATGAGACCAGAGAATATATATTTATATATTGTACATGTTGTATGAACAGAGATTTAATTTCAACATTATCCATGGACCGTAACAACAGTTGGTCGATGTAATATAAAGCTGCCATGTCTACAATCCCTCCCTCCCAGACACCTCGATCCATCTTACTAAAGGTTGTGAAGATTCACTGCAGCCAGCTAAGATAACAAACAAGACCCTTCCTCTGGCTGTCTTGAACATGATACTTCACAGATAGCCCTCATGAGAAAATACATAGTTCCCACTTCCCTACTTACAGGAACCAACTATTTGGCTCTATCGACAATGTTAGAGTAACTAGCTGAGTCCTCAAACCACTACATAATGGGCAGAATCGAATACTGTACAATAGAAAATGGCTGCTTGCTGACATACAAGAGAGAAAGTTATAAGCATTTGTCAGAATGATTTTCTCATTCATGAAATGACACACTGACGTGATACATGATCCTGATGAAATGTACACATATTAAACCACTACATGTATGATTAGATTACACATCATTCATTGCATACACCATGCATACATCAGCTGTTGCACATTGTATAAGGAAGTTGAAATACCACATACAATATGATATATTTCCCTCATGTCCCTGCCTTGTTATCAATGGAATATTATACTAACAATATGAACCACCATTGAATAAATACAAAATTACAGATACATTATCGTTAATAAACTGGCAATCAGTATTGTTTACATCTGTTCATTCATTCTCTAACTATGCTCAAGTTCCTGAACATGTTGAGATGAACAGCACCAACCACACCGTATGGCAACTACTTTACCAAGATCCTTTGCCATTTAACAAAACACTCAAAAAATAACCAGTTACAGCAATATTCCCAACCATAACAAAAACAAAATATATCCCATTTCAATACATCCAAGGAAAAGGTGAAAATAGTGTTGATGGAAACAAAGAATCAGTAGGCCTAGCGATCCAGGTGTACTAATTAATTAACATATTAACACTACACTATCACACTAAACATGAACCTGTGAAGATCTGGGCTAGAATTGGTCTTCAGTAACCCATGCTTGACATAAGAGATGACTAACGGAATTAAGTGGAGAGGCACGCTGACTTGGTTGATACATGTCATCCTATCCCAACTGCAGAGATCGATGCTCATGCTGTTGATCACTGGATTGTCTGGTCCAGACTCGTTTTTTTACAGACCGCCGCCATATAGCTGGAATGTTGCTGAGTGCAGCGTTAAACATTAACCAAACCATACTATACATGAAGAAATATCCTTCAAATTCTTTTATCAAGAAAGTTATAGTGACATGCTGCTTGATTACAAAGCAAGTACTCGCTCTGAAACATTGCACTGTAACTGTAAGAACTACGAAGTTGAAATCCCTGTTTCAATTAACAGCCACATCATACAGTAGGCTAAAAAATAATAGCACACTGTCAATAGGACATAAGTAAAGTAAAATAACAACTTTGGAGTAAGAAAAAAGTGTGTGACTGTAAATCTGGCAAAGGGAGAATTTAAGCACAGCCTACTTAGGTGTAAGACTTTTGCATTTTAGCCAAAATAGTAAGTTGAGAAAAGACATAAGCAATAGACCTCATAAAACTGTCCGTCCCTTCACCATGTCTACAACTGATGACTCAATGTGACCACAAAACATACTTTACAGTTTGCATGTATTGAACATTTTGCAAACAGACAATCTACAAATATATGAATGATATACAGCAAGTGAAAGAAGATGCCTTACATCACCTTCTTGTAAGATCAATCCCAACAGGGATTCATGTTCAGAAGTCCACACACCACTAAGTCAAACTCAGGTACAACTGAGTGAACACAAAACGTCACACCATAACCAATTATAGAGTTCAGAAAAGAATCATACCTCAAAAAACTAATTATCCTTATTATTATTATCATGATAATAGCAGTGGAGAGTGCGTACTTTTGCATCTACATCTGCAGAAACAGGTAGGGATTTAGACTTGATACACACACAAAGTAGCATAATATCGAACTCAATGAAATATTAAAGCAGGGATATTTTACATGATGCATGACAATATTGACATCTTTCAGGAATATATTTCAACATGGAATCATATGTCCATAAATTAACATTTATTACTTAATATTGTTTAAGAAATGATCAGCTGATTATGCAAAAGCAAACTCGTAATGCACATTTAACATTTTGATAAAACTCAGAAACATCAATAAATATTACCTAAGCTGTATATATTTATAATATAAATGTAATGAAAATTAAACTTCAAGCAACTCGAAGTCCTAAACAGTTTGTCGATACATTTTGAGTCTACTAGCTAGCTAACAAGCCTCTACAAGTCATTGTTTTTAGTTTTATGTGCCATCAAACTGACTACTACAAACAAAGATCACTTGAGTAAACAGAATTTGATCAGACTCTGGTTTGGACGAGTAGTATAAATCACAGACTCTGACTCTGAGAGTAATTAGAGCAAATTCAGTAAGATTTTGTCAATATACAGTTGATCATATTGATAAATTGCCAACATCATCAATGATCATGATCAGTGGACATAAACATGATGAATGATGCATGCAAAATACCGTTTGAAACGTAGATCTATCTTAAGACTGATAGCTCATCAATACAAGCAAGGTGACTTTGACAACCATAATGAATATAATGACAGCTCAAACTATTTCATTAAAATGTATTAATCATGTTTATTTATAACTGTAAACAGGTGAAAGGGATATCACAGATATAATACACTTGCAAATTTGGTCTTGATATGATTAATTTCTTCTACTTCAGTGTCTAATGTGTGTAGTCTTCTTGAACCAAAGCAAAATAATCGGCAAGTAACTGGTACTTTCTTCTACTACATTCACGGCGTATGATCAGGTATGTTTGATGTTTCTTCAATAAAATCTATGAAAAGGAATGACCAAGTTGAGGGGTTTTCGGCCCCTGACCGTAATGAGCTAGATGTCACAAATAAGCACAGAAAGGTTATTTCCTTACGAATATACAGTGACTTGTCATGGCAGTCGAACGCTAAACTACCTCGCATGAGAATATACAGATGATACTTCTATCGTTTATTTCACCTCCTGCAACTCATTTAAAGAGCTGTGCAGTGTCAGTGACCACCAACATAGGCGCATCACAGCGACACTGTGTGCTAATTAAATCAGAAGTCATATAACACAAAAATTCAATGTCCATATCAGGAACTGAATTTTCTGATAATTATTATCTTTGCCTCAACTACCCGGATAATTTTTAAAATAATGTCGACTGAAGTTTGCAAATCTTTTCCGCGGAAGCTCACTGCGACACTTACAGATTCTCATCTGGGGCGGTCAGTTGGTCGACCTGTTCTTCGACGCATTCCACATCTGCAGACGTTGGATCGAAATCCTCCCCAACATCCAAAGTTCCACTATCATCCCCAGAAACACCCGTTGTTCCTATGTAGCCATCGGCAGACATGTTATTGTCGGCCATTTTATTTTCCTCCGCATCTCCGAGAATAATATACGAAGGGCACTGATTGGTTAATATTGAACGCACCTTGCTGACGAGTAGGAATAGCGGCGGGTTTGAATATAGGTTATTTCAAGTTTTGCAGTAGCGTCACAGCGCCATTCTAGCGTCGACACGAGGGTGAGATTCTATTTATCATAAAAAATCGGGTGCAGGCTAAAACGTCACCATAGTCTTCATTAGTTTTCAATCAAAAATGTACATCTCTGAACATGGCACTGCGATGTCATAGCATTGTGAGTCATGCATTGACGTCAGGGCAATTTTGTACATTTAAATATTAAAAATTATTGGAGGGTGGGATGTCATCGATTTTGTACATAACATGCGAGGGGGGTGGGGGGTCAACTTACTTTGTACATAAATTCTAGAGGGTGTCATGCACACTGTACATGCTTCTCCATAAAATACATCGTCACCACCACTTCCGTGTTTGTGACAACAAATACATTGTATATGTTTTCTAGTTTTGCAAGTTACTGAAAGTAGCAGATTTTCGAAACGGAGTTTCACCTTGTGTAACGATACATGGATACATACATTATTTCATCAATACATACATTTGTATGTACATGTACGTGCGTGCGTGCGAGGGTGCGTGTGTGGTTGATGATGCTAATGATTTGTATTTGCGTATTTCGCACACGGGCCCGCCAGGCCATTTAGTGTTTGATGGAAAGAGGAGTGATTATGACAGAAACACATGGCAACCTGGAGGTGGCGTTAGTGTTGCATACAATATTTTATATGAATATGTTATGTGTTGTTGTTTTGTTTTTTGGGGGGGATGTAGGGACGTATATTGGAATTAGTGGGATTATATGCGACCTAGAAGATCTTGATTATACATGTACCCAAGGTTTTGAAGGTTTCGATGTTATTTAATGGGTTTAGGAGTGATTGTAGTGTTAGGTGTGTGTTATATATAGTGGTGTCCAATGAACTACATGTGATTTATTATTCTGTGTTGTTTGAAGTGTGTACATTTGCCCGTTTGGTATGTGTGTTTCTTGGTTTGTATGTTTTCCATGCAGGTGGGAATTTAATTTATGATAGTTGTTTAGTTTGTCATGGTTTTTGTAGCAAGTGTCTCAGTTTAAATTGGGATTTGGGTACTTACTATGTCATGATTGGAACACTTTTTGGTTTTTATTTCTATTTTAGATAATGATATGTTTAAGTTAACTTTTGGGAGTTGAAGGGCCGCTTTGCTGCTTGTCGTTGCCAGTCACACCTACATATGCAGGGAAATGCGGACTACCTTTTTGCCTGAGTCGTGTAGAACCTGAGTGCTTTTTAGTATTTCGTTTTTTAGGTTACGTTGGTTTTTGGTGGTTTTGTATTTTATTGCTCAGTGAGTCTGTTAGAATTATTATTTTATTGAGTCGTTTGACGAGCAGGTCGTGCGTGCGTGTGTGCGTGTTGCCTAAAGACATATACTTCATGAACAATATATTCCCACCAACACCATTGAGTCGAGACCCAATCGATGGGAGATAATCCTTCAGTGCTTATTATCTTAACCAAACCAAACGAAGAGCACTAAAATCCTCATTCTGTCCATGTATTGGTGATACTTCTGAGAGTGAGTGAGCGAGTATGGCTTAACGCCGCTTTTAGTAATATTCCAGCAATATCACGGCGGGGCACACCAGAAATGGGCTTCACACATTGTACCCACGTGGGGAATGGAACCCGGGTCTTCGGGGTGACGAGCGAACGCTTTAACCACTATAGTTTGGCATGAAATGCATGTGGACCCGGGTTTTTGTAAATATCTCTTCATCCAATGATCCAATCGATCTCAAACTGTGCAAGTGGATGTTTTGTCAGACAACCTAATCACATTGTAAATCACCGATTTTATGCATTTGTATTAAAGAATCTGTCTATGTAACTGTCAACAAAATACACAGCAGAACGCAGACTGCTTGCAGAGGGAGGGAGCCAATGACCTGTAACAGCGGCAGTGTTGGGTCATAAAGGTAAATGCACGTGCAGTTCATGATAGTTACCTGTGCACTGCACAGTGATAGACCGTTTGGATCATTCACATTGACTACTTCTAGCTGTCATTATGAAAGCTTATTCAGATGATGCTAAACGTTTAATTAGAAATGTGTTGATTTTTTTTTAAAAAGAGAGCAAACGTAGCAAACCGATTTATAAGGTGTCGGATTACATGAAACGTACAACTTTTGCTCATGGCATGAAAAAGAACATCGTGCTAAAAATTGTGAAAAATAAACCAACAACCAATAAACAAAACCTTGTACAAAAAGGTAGGCATCCAAAGTTATATTCTTTTGACATCAGGGTCATCAGAGATGTCATTCGCCGGCTATTTGCTAGAAATGAACACCTGCCCACAAGAAAGTTAAAACACATCCTTGCAGAGGATCACAACATTCATGTTTCTAGGTTTATGCTAAGCAAACTACTGCTCAAATTTGGATACAAGTACAAGAAGGTAGCAAACCAGAAACTTGTAATGTGTGAGAGATCTGATATTGTGAAAATAAGGTGTAACTATTTGAGAGAAATTAAGCCGGCAAGAGAGGATGGGTTCGAACCTATATATCTGGATGAGACCTGGGTCAATGCAAACCATACTGCTCCCAGACAGTGGCTACCCACTGACCCCAGTGATGGTAGGAAAATACCAACAGGCAAAGGTGAACGTTTAATCGTTCTTCATGCTGGTTCCCACCGTGGATTCCTACCTGGGTGTGATATGCTATTTCGGTCAAATAGCACAGATCGTAGGGACTATCATACAGAAATGAACTCAACGGTTTTCACACAGTATGTTGAGGAACAATTGTTGCCAGCTCTGCCTTACAAAAGTCTTGTTGTCATGGACAATGCTCCCTATCACAGTGTTCGAGATCCAAACAATAGGTGCCCAACTTCCAATACAAAGAAGTCAGATATGCAGCAATGGCTAACAAATAACAATATACAATTTTCAATTAAGGCCACTAAACCACAGTTGTACTCTTTGATTAAACCTAACAAACCTCCACCCACATATAACATTGACAACATGCTACGCCAACACGGCCATAAGGTCTTGAGATTACCACCGTACCACTGTGATCTCAACCCAATCGAACTTATCTGGGGAGACCTTGAAAGTACAGTGGCCCGGAAAAATCAATCATTCAAGTTGAATGATGTCAAGCACATTGTCAACACTGCTATATGTGACATTGACATTGCACGCTGGCATGCATGTGTTGAACATGTCAAGAAGGTGGAAAAGAGTACTGGCTCAAAGATGGCTTGAAGGAGCAAACAGTTAATCCAGTTGTCATTCGTCTGGACACTGATGACTCCTCTGTTGAAGAATGGAGTGAACTTGATGAAGTTTAATTCTGTTATTATATTTACAGATAATAATAGTATCCAGCCAGATATGCTCAATGAAATATAACTTCTTTTAACAATGACAGCACTGGCTAATTCCAACGACTTATAGTGTAACATGAAACACTCATTTCACATAAAATTATCATGAAAATATAAATATTAACTATCTACATGTATATGCTTAAAGCTATTAGAAGTGCATTGCTTAATTTGGAATGTGAACGATATCAAAACATAACACTTTTGTCTTCATTCTATCTTTTCTTCAATGAGTGTGCATGATTGTGTGTGCTTGTGTCCGAGGGAACGGGGCTTTAACAGTTGTTGAGTTCTAAGCAAAGGTGGTCCGATTAATGATTTATTGTAAATATACTTTCTGTGTTCTTTAAATGCATTTCCACTTAGGTACTGCATAAACAAAATATGACATTAACATTACAAATTTAAAGATTTTAACCTACAGAATAATTCTCACTAATGGGTTTTGTGGTTAATGTTGAACAACTCAGAGAAACAAACTCCGTATGATGGTTAACAGTTGGCACCCACCTTACCCTATTCACGACCCGTGACACCTCTTCATACCTGTCACGTGCATAGCTGACCTACATTGACGAACGTTGACCTTTATGACCCAACACTGCCGCTGTTACAGGTCATTGGCTCCCTCCCTCTGCAAGCAGTCTGCGTTCTGCTGTTTATTTTGTTGACAGTTACATGGACAGATTCTTTATACAAATGCATAAAATCGGTGATTTACAATGTGATTAGGTTGTCTGACAAAACATCCACTTGCACAGTTTGAGATCGATTGGGTCATTGGATGAAGAGATATTTACAAAAAACCGGGTCCACATGCATTTCATGCCAAACTATAGACATCCATGGGATTTAACGGGACAGGTAATGAGACTAACGGTACAACCGACTGTGCACCAATGTTGACATCAATTTGATGAAATGACTCCACATTGAAGTGTGTTGTAATGTCGGACAAAGGATTTGTTTGAAGCTTTTTATGCTGTCTAAGTTACGTAACGTTTACGCTCAGATATGTTTTGTTGTTGTTTTTTGTAGTTTACGTGATGTAAAATTAGAAGATTTGCTTTCATAGGGGTATACTGGGATTGTACTTACATACAAATGGGACATTGGCCGTGTTAAATGACCCCCGACTCGAAAAAGCTTCACAGTACAATACATCATGACAAGGCTGACACTTCGGTGCACCCCACCCGCCTGCTTTGCCGATCGCTACGCTACCATCGCATGCAACCGATTAAAACGTGATGTAAACATAATCATGGATGACTGGCCTATCGAGCACCACTCATGACACCTACCAATTCTTTATTGTTATTTCTGCAAGTCGATTGAAACCCGATTTGACTCTTAACTAAACGATCTATACACAAATGGATGGCGATAGATCCGCACAAACGCGGTGTGTGTGTGTGTGTGTGTGTGTGTGTGTGTGTGTGTGTGTGTGTGTGTGTGCGCGCGCACTCAAAGTCAGCGAATTTAGTTTAGGAACCCAACCATGTCGTAGGTTCAATGGTGGTGTTGTTTTACGCCGCACACAGCAATATTCCCGC